TACTACTACTACTACTACTACTACTACTACTACTACTACTACTACTACTACTACTACTACTACTACTACTACTACTACTACTACTACCCCTACTCTTCCTCCTCCTCCTCCTTCTCCTCCTCCTCCGCCGCATATGTCGCCATGCATCTTGTTTGTCACAATTCCTGTTCAAGTTTATATCACCAGTCATGATAATGACAATCCTTATGTTCATGCTTATCCTCGATCCGTCCTTCCCCGCCGACAAAGGCCGACCGCTGCCCGCGAAGCACCTGCACCATGGTGTCCAGCAGGCCTCGCGCGAAGTACCTGCCACCAAGGCGGGGGCGGGAGTGACAGCTGAACAGGTGGTCGAACATGGCTGCGCTTGTCTGGAGCCATCGAACAGATTTCTGAGAACATGTCACAAAATTATCGTATGTGTTCATCATCCTACTCCTCTTACTCCTACTCCTACTCCTCCTCCTACTCCTATTACTATTCCTCCTCCTCCTCCTCCTCCTCCGCCATATTCCTCCTGATTATCCTCCTTACTATCATTCCTGCTTCTGGAGGGTGCACGAAGGATGGAAGGCGCAGGAGTGAGGGAAAGCAGCGAAGAGGGCGGGAGGAGGGAGGAGAAAGGAGGGAAGAGGAGGGAGGACGGACAGTACTGTTACTCCCAACTTATCCTTCTTTTCCTAGGCAAGCTATGGGGCCAACCCCTCGCTCCCCCCTCGCCAGGCCCCATGCTGGAGAGAAGAGCAGTATTCCTGCCAGGGGCCGTGACGCGCGAAGCGCGGCAGCCTGCGCGTTCCCTGGGGGCGCCCTGGACCCCATGCCCTTATGATGTTCCCATCGCACTTGAGGACCACACCCCAGAAATCATGTCGAACGCCCCCCCGGGGGGCGCGCGGAGGAGGATGAGGAGGAGGAGGAGGAGGAGGAGGAGGAGAAGGAAGAGGAGGAGGAGGAGGAGGAGGAGGAGGAGGAAGAGGAGGGGGAAACGGAGGGGGGAGGAGGCGGAGGCGGAGGCGGAGGAGGAGGAGGAGCACCCTGAAAACTATCGAATGTCTGGCCGGCACGCTGGCGAAGTGCCGAACAGGTACAGCCTCCCAGTGCCCGACGGGTGAAGATGCTCCCCAGGCCTGGTGCTTTCATGGTGCTCGAAACTCTTCTCTGGCGGTCCGGGCTAAAGTAGAGGGGGGGGCTGCAGCCGCGGCGCGCGGCGGCAGCAGCGGCGAGCAGCGGCGGCAAGCCGCGGAGGTGCGGCAGCCGCAGCGGCGACGGCCCGCGGGCGACGGCGGACCGCGTTGGGCAGCAGCCGGCTGGTGCGTGCGCGCGCGCCGGCCCCGCAAGAGACGCCGTGGGTGGGCGCGCCTGGGCAGCGTCTCCGGCCAGTTCCTCCTGAGGAGGGGGACGGCGCGGCGCGGCGCGGGCCGGGCAGCTGGCGCTAACCGTCAGCGTTCCCAAATCTCTGGCGCCGCGGGCGCGACGCTTCCGCTGCAATCTGGTCGTCTGGGGACCACTCGTGGGATCCAGGTCCACCAAGCCCCGCAAGGGGGTGAAGTCGTGGGGCTGGCACGATAGCGGGACTTGCCACAGGCAGCTGGACAACAAATGAGTAAGCGCGCTCCTCAGGCCGCCATCCCACCGCCCCCCTCCCGCCTCTGGAAAAAACATTGGCCAGCGTGGACCCCAAGCAGCGTTTCTAGCACTATATGTTGTTCGATCTAGGTGGGGCAATAGTTGTGGAGCAATGTATCCGCCACGTGCCTCTGGCACGAAATGGAGTGCCCCAAGGCCCATGCAGCACTGAGAGGTAGACGCTGTGCTGCTGCTGCTGCTGCTGCTGCTGCTGCTGCTGCTGCTGCTGCAGCGAGAATCGTAAGTCTTTAAGGGCACGGACCAATCGTGCCCCAGGCCTTTCAGGGGCTTTCTGGGCTGGCTCCAGTGAGTTCTGAGGTGTTTCCTGCGCCTCCTCTGGACGCTGTGGTCCCCCCGAAAGTGACCTCCTGAACCCTCCCATGAGTCCAAGAGGACCGAGTCGCCAAAAGATCGCTCCAACATGCTCAAGATGGCCTCAAGATGGCCCAAGAGGCCTCCAAGACGCCACAAGGGGTCTCCAAGAAGCCGCCCGAGAGAACCCGAAGAGTCAAAATTCAGTGATTTCATGTAGGTGTTTGATATATTTGGGCGGTCTTGCCTTTTCGGTTTCCCGACGCTCGAAGACGGCCCAAGAGACCCCCAAGACCACCCCAAGACGGCCCAAGAGGCCCCAAGAGGGCCCCAAGACGGCCCAAGAGGCGACCAAGACGGCCCAAGGGGGCCTCAAGACGGCCCGAAAAGGAATCCAAGAGAGGGAACACAAATCGAACCGAGCCTTGGAGATCCCCAGAGGCGCCAAAGAGGCCCCAAGAGGCCACCCATGAGGCCACCACGAGGCCCCAAAGAGGCCCAAAAGAGGCTCCACGAAACCCCAAAACGGCCCCCATGAGGCCTGAAATCTGCCTCCAAGAGGCCCCCGAGAGGCCCCCACGAGACCCCAACGAACATACAATAGGCTTTATACCCACAACCCAGGCACGGTGGCGGGATGGGCCGAAGGCCATTAGATGTGGTGCAGTCTATGTGATGCAATATATTTGGTGCAATGTACGTTGTGCAATCGGCATGGTGCAGTCTATGTGGTGCATGTAATTTCTGTTCGCAATGAGTTGTCCACTCCACTGCTCGCGCAAACGTCCCACCCACCCACCCGCAACTTGGTTTGCAAAATCTCTTAAGACCGTGACGGTGGGTACCAAATGGCACTTCGCAACGACAGCGACGCCGACGACGACAGAGACAACGACGACGACACCGCCACCGACAACGATTACGACGACACCGACGACGTCTCCAACGACTTCGACGACGCCGACAACGACGACGACGACGACGACGACGACGACGACGACGACACCGACGACGACGACGACGACCAACGACGCCGCGCCGACGACGACGACGAGATGACAACGACGACGACGATGACGACGCCGACGACGACAACAACGACACGACGGACGACGACGACGACGACGAGACGTCGACGCCGACAGGGACGACGACGTCACGACGACGACGACGACGACGACGACGGCGACGACGACGACGACGCCGACGTCGACGACGACGAAGACGACGACGACGCCGAGCCGACGACGACGACAACGACGACGGACGACGACGACGACGACGACGACGACGACGACGACGACGACGACGACGGCGACAACGACGACAACGACGACAACGACGACAACGACGACAACGACGAGGGAGGAGGGAGGACGGCGACGACGCGAACGACGAAGAAGGAGGAAGGACGGCGACGCCGACGACGACAACGACGAGGGAGGGGAAGACCACGACGACGACAACGACGACGACGACGACGACGACGACGACGACGACGACGACGGCGACGAAATAGGAGGGACGACGACGAGACGCCGACGACGGACGACGACGACGACGACGACGACGAGAGAGGAGGAGGAAGGACGACCACGGCGACAACGACGACGGAAACGATCACGACGCCAAAGAGGACGACGACGCCGAACACAAGGAAAGACAGAGGATGCCGTAGGCGACGACGACGACGACGACGACGCGGGAGGAGGGAGGAGGACGGCGACGACGACGACGACGACGACGACGCAAGAGCGCGCGCGCGCACACTTTTGTTGAAAATCCGTGTTGCAAAACCTTGTGTTTTTGTAGGTTGTTTGGACACACGAATTTGAAATCCTTCCGAAGCCGATGGGTTTTTAAGGATTTCGGCATACGCGCGCGACGACGCACGCGTCTGCACTTCGTCTCGTTTTTTGCAAAAGGATTCTCGCGACGGCACACGCGCAAGGGCGTTCCACAGATTTCGACATGCGCGCGCGAAGCCCGTTTAGTAGCATTTTGTGAAAAACTTGAAAACCATGGTTTTCTTAAGATTTCGCAAGAGCTCGCGCGTAAGCTTTTTTAGCACATCAGTGTTGCGAAACCTGTATTTTTGTATTTTTTTGGGAAACCCGATTGCGAAATCCTTCCGACACCGAAGGTTTTTGAAGGATTTCGGCATGCGCGCGCGACGACGCGCGCGTGTGCACTTCGCCCCATGTTTTGCAAGGAATTCGCGAAAAAGTCTTATGTTAGAACAAAAGATGTCCCTGCGTATTGTTTACCTCAGGGGGGCCGATACCGGCCCCCCTGGGGGATAGTGTAAATTCATATTTAGGATGGACATGTGGTCAGAATCATATATGATCTACATACCCGAAAGGGGGGGGATAACGCCAGGGGGGGGTAGAGTCTATTCTCTTCTTAGAAAGGAGAATCATGTAGCGCAATCCGCCAGCCCCCTTGCGGGGCCACCAGGCTGCGAGGATTAGGCTTGCTGCTCCCTGCTCCAGTTCCAGTCTCCAGTCTCTGCTGTACCCTGCACCAGTTACAGCTTCCAGCTTCCAGTGTTACAGCCTTGCTTGCTGCTTCCTACTGTAGATTGTTACTGTCCGCGCGAGGGTGGGAGCCGAAAAGTGCCGTGGTGACCACCCCCCAGGAGGATTCTCAGAAGTTCTGGGGGGGGGGTCCTGGGTCGCGACCCCTCGTAAATTACACAACCTTCGCGTCCCCGATGCCATAAACCTTTGTAAATTATAGAGTCGCGTCCCTGGGGCCATAAACCCTCGTAAATTACGCAATGCTTGCGCCCCCCGAAACCATAAGCCTTCACAAAGTATACAATAGTTGCGTCCCCGCGGCCATGAACCCTCGCAATTTCCAACATGCGCGTCCCTGAGGCCATAAGTCTTAGTAAATTACACTATACTTGTGTCCCCGAGGCCATAAACCCATGTAAATTAGATAATGTTCGCGTCCCCGAAACTTTAAACCCGCGTAAAGTACACGGTATTCGCGTCCCCGAGGCCATAAACCTTCATCAATTACGCCATATTCGCGTCCCCGAGGCCACAAACCTGGGTACATTCTACAATGTTTGCGTCCCCGAGGCCACAAGCCCTTTGTAACTTCCACAAGACTCGCGCCCCCCTGGCCAGGAGTCCTTGTAAATTACGGCGCACTCGCGCCCCCGAGGTCTCAGTCCCTGACAACAGACACCGAGGAGCCCGAAGACCGCCCCAGCTGCGCGATCTTGCCCACTCTAACCTCAAGCAGCCCCCAGTCTTTCCAAGAGGGCCTCCTCCAATGCACAGCATGCGGGGGCAAGTCCAAAGTGCAACACCGGATTTGACAATAGAATCTGAATATATACCTTTCTTGCCGATAATTTATCGTCGTCGCATGAGGTTCCGACACTGCTTCAAGACGGCGCCCAGACCTCACGACGTAGCTCTTGCATGATCCATCATCCGAGAGAGGGGGCCGGCGGCAGGGGGCGAAGCCCTTACGGATACATGTGGTGCAATAGATGCGGTACAATCGACGTGGTGCAATCGATGTGGTGCAAGATATGCTGTGCAGTTCATCTAGTCTTTGTCGAGCAATTTTATGTGATGCAATATATGCTGTGCAATATCTGCGTGGTGCAATCGACGTAGTGCAATATGCGTGGTGCAATCCTGGCGGCGGCGGGGCGGCGACGAGGCGGCGATGAGGCGGCAACGGGGCGGCGACGGCGAGCACGGAGCCGCCAGACCGCCAGCCAGGCCCAGACGACGGGCGGCGACGAGGCGGCAACGGGGCGGCGACGGCGAGCACGGAGCAGACAGAAGGAAGCCAGGCCCAGACGACGGGCGGCGACGAGGCGGCGACGGGGCGGCGACGGCGAGCACGGAGCCCCCAGACCACCGCCAGCCAGGCCCAGTTCCTTAGAAGAGAAATAAGAAACTCGAAGTGGAAGAACTGGTTGGGACACGTATTAAAAACGTTGGACAACGCGCATTCCCTAGACCGATACTCTGACTTCTCTGTTTACAGAAAGGCCGCTGGCACCACCTGCGCGACAACTCAGAAACCTGGCTTCCAGTGACATGAGGCAAGATGCAGCGTTACAGCATCCTGGAGAGCTCAGCAACTGGAAAACAGAAGCTCGAAACACCAGCTCTCAGAGAACAGACCTGCTCAGTTCCTCAAACAGAGAGAGAGAGAGAGAGAGAGAGAGCTCAAGTTTATAAGAACGCGAGAAAACCCGACGACCCGAAAGGAGACCTGCGCCGCGTCCGAATCACATCCTCAAGTTCTGGGCGCCCCGGGGCACGTGAAACGTCATAGATCCGTCTGGACTCGGTTTGAGGTGATCTCTCTGGCCTCTGGCGAAACTCCTGTGTTCATGAATTGCAATCTGTTGTTCCACGGTTTTGCACCGTGGGCTGTCTCAGGGGGTCCTCCCAGAAAGGCCAAAGAAG